AATGGACAGTACACACGTGGCGCCCCATGGTTGGAAGCCCTGAGACTTATAAGCTAAGAGCAGGAGCCTGGAGGGGGAAGAAGGCTGATGTAACAGGGCAATAAAAGCTGCGCAGACACAACCAGTGGTCGCGTCTTCCTTGCTGGCAAGGCCGCGCGCGACAGATTTTCACCTCTTCCGCCACATCCATCTGTACATTTATCCTTTACAGAAAATAAGATGCAAAGTCAAATGTTAGCTAAACTCCAGAATTCAATAGGAGTCTGAAACAGAAAATGTGTTAAAGACCACTGGCAATCAAAAACGTGCTTTGTAGACTATCCTTGAAAGGAATAAGGAAAAACCGTAGGTAGTATCAGTCGTTCTAAAAGAATGTGACAGTGTTTTCAGGAAAAAGCAATCACTATGCAAGAACTAAAGGTTTGCATCTCAGATCTTGAAGAATGTGAAGAGATACTGAAATCAGAAACATTATTTAAAGAATACAGAAACATTTAAAAAGATGTACTCATGCCAAGTGTCGCTTAGGAATGTAATTTCAACATCAACAACAACTCCCCTTACTCTGGTACAAAATGTGCACTGCGTGGCTGGCCTGCCTGCTTGCAGCTGTGACTGACTCTCCGGCTCATCCACTGTGTGGCTGGGGGCAGAACCACCCAGCACGTGCTCTTGCCCTGAGGTACATACTACCCACGCTTCGCTACTTTTTTGAGATGGAGTCTTATTAACTTGCCCAGGCTGGCCTCAAATTTGCCATCTTCCCGTCTCAGCTTCCTGTATAGGTAGGGTTACAGGTGTATACCACTATGCTTGACATATGTAAGTTTTGATAAAACTTCATGCATAACAAACTAAATGGTACTCTTACCTGCACGTTTTCTTCTGTAACCTGAATTTCTGCAGTGTAAACATAATCAATTAGCATCCTCAGGGTCCAGCCATCTACCTCTTTTATTCGAACTCTCTTTGCTCGGCTCTCACTCATCTCACCTAAAAAACAAGGAGTAAAGTGCATTACTGCAAGACGCCACTGTGGAAATAACATGCAAGACGGACTGATCCATCTTTTTGACACTCACTGAATTAGAAAGGAAACAGGATGAGCCACCTTTTGTGGGTGTAAAACACTCCCCCAACTCTCCTAAAAGCTTCTCTGGGCAAGTCAGAAAATGTACTTAAGCTACCCACCTGCACCTGAAAATCACAGTGACGCAAGCGGCACGAGTCTAACTGTATGAACCGTAAACCTGTGCCACAGGAGCCTGTCTGTTGCTGCCCCTGACTTTGGGCAGTGTGTTTTCTCTACAATTTCCAGTGCTCACTAAGACAGACAGTGTCACCACCTCTGACCAGGAACGCTTTCTGGAAAGGACCCACTCGATTAGCAACACCCACTCAGCAAGCGCACAGATGCTGGCGAGCCCTGTGCTGGACACAGAGGCCTGAGGTTCAGTGCAAAGTCATAACTCTCTTGCAGAAAACAAATTACAAAAGACGCTGAGGTCAGTCATGGCAAAGCCTTGTTACTGGATCATCTAGCCCTGCTCCCTGCTTGACAGCAGTAGTAACTCCATGCAGAAGGCATTTTCAGACTTAGTACTAGCCAGGCCCTTTTTTGCAACACTGTCTGATAAAAAGTGGTATATGACTTGCTTCCCAATACCTACTGTGGAAAAAAGCAGAAAAACAAAAAGAGAAAGGATGGTCCCTAAATCAAAAGGAACTGGGCAAAACAGAAAGTAGATCTGAGTACCTACTTGTGGACAACATAAGAAGACCTAGAATATAACGAAACACAGCCGCTGAGTGATGGAAAAGAAAACCTCCACTAAAACTGAAAAGCAAGGGCGGGGAGATGGCTCAGTGGAATAAGCGCCTCCCTGGCAAGTGAAAGGGCCTGAGTTCGATACCCGGTTCCGCCAAAAAACAAACAAACAAATAAATAAACAAAAACCGAAAAGGAATTAGGTACTTGCATTCCAGCACTTGGGAGGCTGAGACAGGAGCATCACAGTGAGTTCAAGGCTAGGCTGGACTACACTGTGAATTCAAAGCCACCCTGGACTGTTTGGTAATATTCTATCTCAAAAGAGTGGTGGTGGTGGTGAGCCAAGAATAATGCCTAGTGTCATGGGACACCCTCAGCAAAAAGTCTGGCTCTAGAATTCACTGCATTTTAATAATAAGAGAACAGGCAAGGAACTGATGCCACTATCCATCACCTACTCCTGAATCCAGCATTACCTATTTAAAAATAACAGTGATCTCAAGATTCCTTGAAAGCTAAGTGCACTGTCAGTGACCATAAATTATTAGAAAAGCCCATGGGAATCCATTATTACACAAAATTCCTTTACAAATAAAAACCCCAGAGGAGAGAAACAGTAATAGTGATGTACATTTATTTCACTATGTTTCCCTAGAGATTATGTGACAAGATCTCAGGGAGAAGTTGTTCTTCTTGGAGTCTTCACAGCTATCCTGCTACCTCCCATGGGGAGACCTCCATCTGTACTATAGGGGAGGGATGGATGGGGACAAGGAGCACGGGGGCCTCTGCAGCAGGACGAAGCAGACTGTAGGGTGCATCTCGGCACCAGCAAGTGTCTCTTCCCTCCTGGACAGAAGACAACAGGGGAATGTGGAAAATTAATTCATCTGCATACACTGCACCCCCTCTACCCTACTCTTCATGGACCTGTTGGATAGGCGGGTTTGTTTCCTCAGAACGTGCTTTTGTGCCTGGGGTTATGATTCCTGCCTGACTTTAGACAAAGCCTGTAACAAGTTCATCTAAAGAACCCCGTCACGTACAAGCCCTGTGCAGCCTGCAGCCACAGAGCCTTGGAGGCAGCTCTCAGAGTCAGGCATGACTTCATTTAAACTTTAATATACACATGTGACCAAAAAAAAACCCCACAGTCCTGTGCCAAGCAGCTTTTAATATCATGGTTTTTATGCACTTTGTCAATTCACCTATTTTCCTCATGTCATTTTTAAGGTTATTTCCTTGAAAAATATATTTACTTTCAACAAAATCAATCTCAATTATATATTGCTTTAAAGATATTTTAATGTTTATTCTAATACTGCATTAAAAGATGTAAAATTCCAACTATTATGAATCAAACCATGTAGAAAAAGAACTACAGACACTATATCTAACTGTAGTCACATAATATGTTAGTGACTGCCCTTCGCTATGTTTATAGAAAAAATTTAAACCGCATGCTTTATGGCTTTTTTTTTTTAGTTTTAGCATTTCTCTTTTAAAGAATTTATTTTACACCTATTATACCACACAGCATGTTTTAAACACTGACATATAACGCCCTAATAAGATAAAGAAAAGACAAAAAAAGCTTATCTTATTAGAAACAAAGATGCACCATCACTTATAGTCTTCAAACATTATTGCACTTTTAACTTCCATTTGACAAAACATTCATGAAATAATCAGTAGACTACATAACAAATAAAACCTTTAAGCAGATGAACTGTCCTAAATTGTTAATCAGGTTATGAATTTTACAAACATCACTTACATCATTAGTGGCAATGGTGGAGCTGGAGAGCACCGTGCCTTCTCCAAGCTGCACGGTGAGAGCCAGATAGTGTGCTAGAACTCTCCACGGCCACGCTCTGGCGGCCTGCAGACGTCAGCCCACGCATCTCCCTGTGCTTGTGGACTGATCTGGTGATCCACGGGGTGTCAGGGTTTCTTCTAATAGCTTTGTGGAATGGATCAGTAAGGATAAACTCAAAGAATTTGTATGTGAAATCGTCACCAACTCAGTAAGAATTTAGAACTCTCAGAGCCCCACAGTGGCTTCCAGCTCGCTCCTCAGCAACAGACTGAAGGCTTCGCGCTAACTTCAGCTGGCTAACGCCATGATGGACAGGTGGCCGTAAGTCACTCCCTGAGGAACTGGACGTTTGTGGCCCCACCACAAACACGAATCCAGTACATGACATATCCTTGCTTGGCCTTCTATCCATCCCAGCCTGTGAGCTCCATCTGGCCAGGTGGGGCGAGGGGCCCTGTGGAGACCCGCAGCAGAAAGTGCCTCCCATTGGACTGCTTCTTCCTGCACAGCTCCTGGGTGTGCTTGTGTGCACCCAGCTTGGCTTACCTGGTGTCTGCCACCAGACACAAAGGAGTAAACTGTAAGCTTTGTGATTTATGTTTGATAATGCATTTTTTAAAGTACTGTATCTAATGAAGCTGTAGCTTTTCCTGTACCATTTGTAACTTCTCCTCTAATCAGCTCTTAGCTGATTTATGTCTTGATCATGAAACTCTACAGCTCTATTAGATAACTTGGAGGCTGTTAGGCTACCTGCAGATACACTAAAAACCTGAGGGGGCATCATCCTTGACTTGCTTCTCTTTCTTCCCACCAGACCTATCATTCACCAAAACCTACAGAACTAAACTGAGACAGATCTCCACCAGTCCTCCCACCTCCTCTCCATCTGTCCTTCCACCGGGCCTTTGGCTCTGATCACACCAACTCCACTGTAACAACCTCCTAATTCTTTTCCTGCCTCTAGTGCTAACTGCACAGTTCTGACCACAGCTATCAAAATCCTTCAGCTTCATGGATCACCAAGATAGCTCAGTAGACTAAGCACCTACTTAGGCAAGTGCAGGGACTGGGGTTTGATCCTGGCATCATATGCCACACTGGCCCCGTCCCTGGGCATGCTGAGCCATGGAGACTGGGCATGGTAGTCTGTAATCCCAGTGCTGGGAAGGCTAAAAACTATGAGTCCAAGCTGCACAGCAAGACCCTGTACCAAATACAGTAAAATAAAAAATTCTTCTTCCAGCCCACGCACACAACCTCTGTACATACCCTGCCTATGATTCACTATCTAACCCCATTCCTCTCCCACTTCTACACTTAAAATACATTTCTAAGGAACTGTCTATAGTTTCCCACACATGAAGAAAATTTTTTTATGTATTTTAGTACAGGGACTACAGGGTCTCACTACACAGATCAGATTCATGATCCTCCTGTTTTCAACTTCCCAAGCACTAGGATTACAGGTACATACCACCCCACCCAGTCCCAGTCACTAGCTCAGCGCACCCCAGGGATGGGGCCAGCATGGGAGGTTGGGGATCAAACCCCAGTCCCTGCATCTGCCTAAGCAAGCAGGTGCTTTAGTTCACTGAGCTATCTCGTCAGCTCTACATGAAGTAAAATTTTTACTTTGATACCTTTGCTGAATGAACTCGGTCATCTTGGTCTCCCTAACTCCCTAACTCCTAGTCCCCAGGCTAATAGCCACACTTTCTTTGAAGAGTTAGGGGCAACCTCGCCAGGAGGCTCTTACCATGGATCCAGCTGGGCAACCTCATGAATCCACCATCACAACCCACTCTTTACCTAGTTCTCCACACTTAAATTCCTGAGCTTCCAGGAGGCAGGAATGAAGGTTTTCATATCTTTCTATCCCATACTGTCTGATAAACAGCAACCCAATAAATACCGATTGGATGAGTGACTGACTAGATGAATAAAAAAAGTGCAATTTAAAATCTAGTACTTAGGGGGGCTTGCGAGTTAGCTCAGTTGTTTAAAACACCTGCTTGGGCAAACCCAGTCAGGCACAGGGGACCGCGGTTCAATCCCCAGCTCCACATGCCGCACCAGACCCACCCTTAAGGCAACCTGAGCTAGCCAAAAGAAAATAAAACAAAACAAAAAAGAATCTTTCTAAAATCTATTACTTAGAAAGGCCAGCAAGATAGCTCAGTGGAGTGTCTACCTAGGCATATGCAGGGACTGGGTTTCCATTCCCAGCACCACATGACAAGCTGGCCCCACCCCCAGGCATGCTAAGCAGGCCACTGAGACCCAGGTGTGGTGGCACATGCCTGTAATCCCAGCACTGGGGAGGCTGAAAACAGGAGGATCACTAGAGCCTAAGCTGGGTAGTGAGACCCTGTACCAAATACATAAATTATTAAATAAATA